AGTGTAAATGTGACACTTTCTGCAATTCATCAGTGATGTACTGATGTTGCATAGAACTATAGAAGTGAGTAAATCAAAACATTAATTTGTACTCAAAATTATGCTAATATAACTAACTACACCATTACCATATAACATTATAAAACATAAAAACATCAAGTATATAACTAACTCCTAATAATACAACTATATAAGTAGCATTTACTTATCCGCAATAAAGAGATGAGTAGTTATTTCAAATTTGCTTATTACTATCAAGTACATATAGAGCGATATTTGTTTGATGTAGAGTGAGCCGCAAAGGTAATGATGTAGACGAGTTTCAATCCAACAAGTTTTGAATACCAACGCAAATATTTTAAGATACTCCCTAATTTACATTCACAAAGTTACTACCAATGGACATTATGAATTGTGATTAATGATTTACTCAAATAAAATCTTATTAATACAACCAATTCCATTTATAAACCCTTTCCACATTCTTTCTCCACTAAAACTCCACTATTGTAGCTCTCTTCTCCATTTTTGGGCGGGAAACCAAGAACCTCCTTTCAACTTCAAAAATTATTCCCCTAATTTCTCTCTCCTTCTTTCCTCAATTCATTCCTTCAATACCCATTTCCATGTCCAAAACCCCCACCAGAAGAACCCTAAAAAATGGCTCAATTTCCTCAACAAAATCCTCTGAAATCACCTCCATCAAGAGGAAACGAGTTGTCAAGCCGAAGAATACTTCAAACAATAAAGGGCAAAGTGAAATTGAAGATATTGAGGATTTATTGAAGTTTAATGAGGAAGAAATTGCAGAAATTAGGGTTTCTTTGTTGGAATGGTATGATAAAAATAAGAGGGATTTGCCTTGGAGGAGATTGAAAGATGATGATGATGGAAAAGAGATAAAGGCATATGGGGTTTGGGTTTCGGAAGTGATGCTGCAACAAACTAGGGTTGCTACTGTCATTGATTATTTTAATCGTTGGATGTTGAAATGGCCCACCCTTTATCATCTTTCTCTTGCTTCTCTTGAGGTTGTTCTTCTTAATCCTCTGCTTTTCTTATCATATTTGTAGTTTTTATTAATTTTAGTTTGTGTGTATTGCTAGAAAACATTACTCGTTTAGTCTTGTGTACTATTTTTAGATGTGTGGGAAAAGTTGGAATTTTTTTTTGAAGTAACAATGTAGTATGATTGATTATTTAAATGTCATGTGATTCTTGTCAGTTAAATTGAGCAACTAAGAGAGTGGAGAATGACTTGATCATTGTAGTGGGTTTTAAAGTAAATTCTTGTTATATCGTTATTATGAAGAGTTGAGACAGTGTGACAATTATTTTGCGATTAAAGGAGGTGCCTTTAACGAGTTTTGGATATTGGGTAATGAGGAAAGTAGATGCATTTTTCTGGAAGAGATGGAAATTTATGGGGGTCATATGGTCTAGTTATAAAGTTTGAGTCTTGGATGCTGAGATGAACTGGGGATTCAATCTATGTCATGCTGTTTGCTGATGTTATGTAACCTATTTGACCTTGTTTATTTTGAAGTGGGTTTGCTTGTGAGTTGTGATTTATCTCTATAACTCTATAAGCCAGTTGAACTATTTTGACTGAGTTGCAAACCTCTGGAGTTGCTCCGATTAAATGTAAGAGAGGGGCAAGTACTTGTCTTTGTGGCATTATAAATTTTAGCTATCTTGATATTGCATGGACATCCATGTTTAATTCTCAAGTTGCAAATTAATGCGTGTTTGCATCATAATTTGACAGACGAAACTTTAGTGAAATTGCTGTATATAATTTGAGATTTGGATCATTGTCCATCAATGATCTTGTTCTGATCCAAGTAACATAACAATTCGTTGACAAGCTTGCAATTTTGCACAAGGTTGGTATATGTCCTCATTGGTGAATTTAAATAGTAATACTTCTTTGCAGGAGGTGAATGAAATGTGGGCAGGTTTGGGATATTACCGACGAGCAAGGTATTTGTTAGAGGTAAGCACTAAGCACATAACCTCTGCTTTCTTTCTTTTGTATTCATTTATATTTCTTTCTCTTTGTGGGTTTGTTGTTCATGTAATTTCTCAAATATTGATGGGATTTCTTTGGTTTTTCAAGCAATACCTTTAATTGGTTTCAGTATAATGACTTATATTGACGGAAGAGGGCCTGCATGATAGGCAGCTGACTCCTTTTACTTGCCTATAGGGGGCAAAAAAGATTATTGAAGAAGGTGGGAATTTTCCCAGAACAGTCTCTTCTCTAAAGAAAGTCCCTGGCATTGGAGAATATACAGCGGGTGCCATTGCCTCTATTGCATTCAATGAGGTGGGACTTACATATAATTGAGTGTTTATGTTTTCTTATAAATCTAATCTGTCTGACTGCTTGAGCTCACTATTTTAGGCTGTGCCTGTCGTAGATGGAAATGTGGTTAGGGTGCTCGCTAGACTGAAGGCTATATCTGCAAATCCAAAAGACTCGGTGACTGTAAAGAAATTTTGGTGAGTATTTATGTGCAACCCTTTTTTGTTGACAAATGTTTTCTTCAAATCATTTTCTGGTAATTGGAAAGTGGTAAAGCAGAGTGGATTAATGTCTGTGCTCATGCAATACTAGAGGTTTCTGCAACTGTGTTCAACACTTTTTGGTTATATGTGACTTAGGTGTACTGAAAGTTCTCATCATGATTGTTTGTGCTCTATCATATCCAAGGGTGAACTACATGACAAATGGACCCTGATTTTGTAGCTCACTAGGTTGAGTATCTCATCTCATCCTTCAACTTATTGTCCAATCAGGACTGTTTAAGATGTTTTGTGATGATTATATGCATATGAGATGATTATATTTATAGCTCAAACATAGTTTAGCCATAATCTAATGTTAGTTTTCCACTGTTACTCATTGATCCAAGTATGTGAATGTTTCAGGGGTATATAGTGTCACACTTGGAATTTGCCCTTTACTAGCTACCACTGAGGCGTAAAGATCCATTTTTTTTAGTATTAAATAAAAATTCTTAAAAAAGTAATGGACTGAAATAAATGGCTCATTGAACTGAGTATGTGTCTTTTTCTTAAGTAGGAGACTGGGGAGTTGTTTTAGCCTTTCAGGCAGGAACTCTATTACATTCCTTTTTGTTAGTGCAGGGGTAAACTTGTGTACACTTGACTCCCTACCCTGCAGTGGGCAGGAGTCCAACCTTCTTTAGGGCATTGGGATGATGTTAATGCTGAAGTAAAATGTTAAAAATTGATAATTATGGATTAGGAAATTTGAAATAAAGGGAATATTATAAGGTGTTCTTGGCATTCTGTGATCTTAATATTACTTCAGTTGCTGACACGAGTCTTTGTCAGGAGTTTAGCAGGCCAACTAGTAGATCCTCATAGACCTGGAGAATTTAACCAGGCACTTATGGAGCTTGGTGCTACAATATGCACACCAACAAGCCCAAGCTGTTCTGAATGTCCCATTTCAGCTCAATGCCATGCATTAACACTATCTCGGCAGGGTGGTTCAGTTACCGATTATCCACTGAAAGTTGTTAAGGCTAAGCAGAGAAATGAATTCTCTGCCGTATGTGTTTTGGAGGTGACAAAATCCCATAGTCTGCTAGAAAACAACCAGAAATCTAGACACTGCCTTCTTGTAAAGAGGCCTGATGGAGGCTTGCTAGCTGGCCTTTGGGAGTTTCCATCTGTGCTACTGGGACAGGAATCTGAAACAGCGATTAGAAGGAAAGCAATTGATAAGTTCTTAAAAACATCATTCAATCTTGATGCAAAGAAAACTTGCAAAGTGCTTTTAAGAGAGGAAGTTGGAGAGTACGTCCACATATTCTCTCACATACGGCTGAAGATGTATGTTGAATACTTGGTCATACATCTAAAAGGTATGATTCGTTTCTTCTTCCTGCTCTTTACTATCCCATCACCTGACTGCTTTGACTATTATTTTTAAAAGTTTTGATTCCGTGTTATTGAAGGTGGGCTGAAACTCCTGCAAAGTGTGCCTGATGAAGGAAATATGATCTGGAAATATGCTGACAGCAAGGAACTTTCAAGCATGGGTCTGACATCTGGTGTTAGGAAGGTATTGCTTTGCCCTCTTTGTTCTTAATCTCCTTTGTTTTAAATATTCAAAAAAACTGCAGTTAGAAAAGAATATCTGTACTAAAAAAAAGATTGCTTTTCTTCTTCGCTGAGTGAACTTGTAGTTGAACTTGTTGCTGGCATAAAATAGTCTGAAGTGTTATTTTTCCTCGTCTTTGTTTGGTCTATTTGGGTCTGTTGAATAAATATAACACATCAAGTCATCTTACCAAAGTACTTTAAAATTTGGGGTTGTTTGTAAATAAAAGGTGGGATTAATTAAAGAAGTTGGGTTAAACTTGGGTTAAATCGTCAGTTCTCTTACTTTCTTCACACCAACACTAGACACCTAGTTATGATTGACCTTTTTCTTTCACTGCTGCAGGTTTACACCATGGTTCAGCAATTCAAAGAAAACAGCTTGACTGCTGTAACTCAAGATACTAAACAAACAAAATCGAGAAAGCAAAGATGATTAAATTGTACATGTATGCCTTTGCTGGCATGGAACAATACTTTCTGATTTTTTTTTTTTTTGTAAATTTGGTATTGGCAATGGGTCAATATATTATTCTTCGCTCAGAAGATATGTATTTCAAGATTTCCAACAAAGATATGGAGTACTGAGTATATTTTTTCAACACTTCTAATCATTCATTAATGCACATTAAGCTGGAAAATAGCGCCTTCTGCTAGAGGCAATTTTTTTTAAGATGCAGTTTGCACGTGGAAATCAGGTGTATGCAAAGGCCTAACAGAACAAAAAGAAATGGACCTAAGAATTTGGCCTTCACAGGTTAGGAACTCTTTGTGGGGTCTATTTCTAGCCTCAAAGGAGAGATTATAACAGACAAAATAAGAAAGAGAAAATAATCTGATTTAAATTTCAGTGGCATATATATTTTCCAAAATTCTGTGGATATTGTCTCCTTCGGCTCTGCCCCTCCATACATTCTGCATTCAGTTGATACAGAAACTCTTTTTTTTCCTTTTTTCTTTGTCATAAGACTAAGAATACAGTTCAGTGATTTTAACTGAATATCGAAAAATTTTATGTGACTGATAATTAATAAGAGCAACTTATTGGATTAATTAACTGCTGCACTCAAGAGAAAACTTAAGTGCAGATGGCATTAGCGCCTGTTGGAGTATCAAGGTTCTGTAAATTCCTTAATTTGCCCACGTTTTTATCCAGTGGTAGTCTCTTAGCTGCTCCCTTTCGTTCTCTTTTGATGTACTAAGGTTTATATTCTACATATGACGATACTGCAGGATATCTTTGTTTAAAGCTGCCTCTTTAGACATTAATGGAAGCAACTGGGTTTCAAGTGGTTGCTCGATAGCTCCTCCATCAGCTGATGCTACCAGGGTATGCGTTCCCTTTTCAGTTGACTCTTGTTGTTTCCTGCAGAAATTAACTTGTATTCTTGCCCTTTTATGCTTTTTAGAGGACTACTTCTGTGATTTTTCTTGTTTTCTACTTATCAGTTTAATATGCTATAGATTGTTTCATCTGTATGAGTATTAGATTTAACTGACACATTTGTAATCTGTGTTCCAGCTGATTTATGTCTTGTTATCTTCACCTGATTTTGCCTATTATGACTTTTTTTTATTTTTTAGAACTATTTTTTTGCTGAATTTTACTGATCAAGTCTGATTTCTACAAACTAGTTATCATATAATGACACCGATTTCTTTACTTTAAAAAAGATGTCATCTTAGCTCCAAGCTTTAATATCATCCTTTTTGAGTTTCCAAAATGTAGACTCTTATTTTATATCAATCATTCGTAAACAAGACTAAAACATTTGGAATTTGGATGGCTTTTTGAAATTAATCTAAACATGAAATTGATCTTCTTGTGTTGCAATAAACCATTCTTAAATATGCAAGTCACTGACCTATTACAGCTGGTTTAGCTTGTGGTTCTCAAATCAGCTACTCAACGTAAACACATTGCTTGTTCAGCCGTTCAAGAATCATCCACTCCTACTGGTAATCAATTTCTCTTCCTGAACCTCGCTCAAACCAGCCAACCTTTTCTTGGCGCTTTGATTGACAAAAAGTTATGTTTATTTTCCTTAGTTTCTGCTGAGGCAAAGGAAGAAAAGGCAGAAGCGAAACCAGCAGCTGCCAAGCCAAAAGCTGCAGCAAAAGCTCCTGCTAAGAAATTGCCTGAATTGATGGAGGAAGATGTTATTCCTGATCTCAGATCAGCACTTGAAGCTCAAGATGATATAACAGATCTCGAACTAGCCTATAAGGACACTACAGTTAGTCTTCTGCATCCTATGCATGATTGCATTCATAATTGATAGCAAAGCTTACAAAATTTAAGAACTAAATCACCCCTATTTGATTTCTTGATGTAAAATGAGCAGTTAGAAGGTTCATTTCAGCAAAATGGCATAGCCTACTCATTCTGGGCCTTTTTTCCTGATGGAGCACTAACAGGTAGTTTACTGTCTTCAGCTTTCTTCAATTCTCATTTTCATTTGCGTGCAGCATATATAGGTATGATGCAATGTAACAAAGGAAGTAAATGCTATATTTCTTGCTTAATAACTCTTTTTTTGAACAGGTCCAAAGGGATTTGCACTTTCCTCGTATGGCTCGGAAGTGAGCACTGTGGAACCATTTCTTATCGACGAGAAGAAGATCACCTCAAAACATGTAGTGTTCTGGGTTTTGAAGCGACTGGCTGCACAAGGCATCATTCCAGTGTGGGAACTATAAGTTGCTTATCAATGAATGTTGTTCAATCTATAAAATCCAAATTTATAATTTATCTTGTATAAGATCCTTTGTTAATAATATACCAAGTGCAAAAAATTATTGTTCACGTTTTGCTTACAACTTGATTCATTACTCAAAATTAACCATTTTGGATCACTATGACTGTACAAGCAATCAGCCAAAAGCTAAAGGTGGTTTCCCTAATAATTTGCCTCGTAGCATTTTCATATTTTACTTAATTAAACCGTATTAAGTTTTAGTTTAGTAGGATTGATGATACAGAAAAATGATGAGATCTAAAATAATTTTGTGAGAGTAAAGTTGTGATTTTCATGGACATTTGTAGTATGGACTACGGAGTGATTTTTAACCATCCAGGTAAACTTGAATGTAAAGAATGTCGATAATGTACTCTCACACTCGACTTGTACTTTAGTGCTTTGTTCGTTTATTTTAATTGTAATGTTGAAATTTTATACTTGACAAAGCGCATTTTAAAAAGTCAAACTGTTCAAAGTTTCAATTGGTCTTGTATGGACCCGGTCTACAATAAATTATTGTAGACCCAAAATTTGACACTTTCAAATAATATAATCACATTCTGGATGATATAATCACTTTTTAGACGATATAATTATCTTTTTGTGAGTCATATTTTGAATTATATAATCTCATATTAAACCATTTAATGAGATTATAATTATCTTTAGGATTATAAAATTTAAAAATCATCTTTTGAATGATGTAATTTATTATTTGATACTTTTTATAATGATAAATTCACATTTTGAATGATACATTTACATAACAGTTTCAAGATAATATAATCACTTTTGTATTAATATAATCACATTTTGTGTGATATAATCACATTCGTATGATATACTAGAAGGTTGGGTCTACATTAAGTTATTGTAGATCGGGTCTATTTTAGTCTTTACCTTAAAGTTTATGTACCAAAATGAATCTAACAAGATACCACAAATATACGAGGCATGAGGCATGAGTGAGACTGTGAGAGTAAGACTGTAAGAGTGAGTAAAACGACGTCGCAACAAGGGTCACACTTACACACTACCGCGCTGAAGCCTGAATAAATCTTCAACCTCTTTTTGGGGCGCCAATACTCGGAATTTTTTCCAGAGAAACCTCAAAAAATCAATTTTTTTTTTTTTCCTTTTAAATGAAGGATTTTGATTCCTAGAAATTGCAGAATTGTAACATTAATTACTTTCTTGAGGAAATCAAAAGCGGGAAATTTGGTCGAAAATGGAGGGAAAAAAGAAGCAATTGAAGCCAGAAAGGCAACCCCTCAAAACCCTTAATCATATTTCTTGGAAAGAAAAGGTGAAAATCCTTCAATTTTATGCTGAATTATTAACTGGGTTCCGTTTAATTTTGATGGGTATTCTTCAATTTCTGTTAATTTTCCTTGAATTTTGATCTGATATTTTTTTTACTGAAAATAATTTCATTTTGGTAATCTGGGTTTATTTGTTTGTGTGGAAGAATAGTTGAAGGAGAGCTGTTATCGGAGAGTAAAGGAGGATAGAAGCCGGCTTCTATGGAATTCTAGATCACCTCTTCTTCAATCCTCTGACCAAAAGGTTTGTTCTTCCACATTATCATATCACTCATGATTGATTCAAAATGGGTTGTTGTATAGTTTTTATATGGATTGTATGTTGTTGTATAGTTTTTATATGGATTGTATGTTAATCCGACTTTTTATTTTACCTCAAGTACCTGTGCCGGATACTTGACACTTGACATCGGTATGACAATCACTTCAGTTTGTGCCAAAATTAGGCAAACATTTCATTAAATGGCCGACACTTCTGGCTTGAGTCCTATTAACATGTAATTTTTATGTCTGAATGCACTCAAAAGGTAGCAGTGTATATATTTATAGATTGTGATAAAACTGATGATCACATATAGAACATTTTCTATCTAAAGCTACTAATATAGGAATCAATTGGATTTTGAGGTGCTTGAGAAAATGAAAGTTTTACTGATATAGATGGCTAAGAATCAAGGGTACTAGGTTAGGTGGGTGGTGAGGGGCTTAACGAATCGCAGTGGTCTCCAAAGAGGGTCTCCAAAGAGGGGTTCCTTATTGAAGTAAGGGAGTGGTAAATTTTATTGCTACTTGCTAGGCATGCTCTTGGCGGTCCCAACTCACCTTCAGCAAGGGAAAAGGTGGTAGAGAATAGTAGAGAGTAGAGACTAGAGAGTCAAGAATGTTACAAACATATATATGAAGAAAGTTGAATAAAGTGTCTCGACTTCATCTTTCTGTCTTGCACTCTTGCATGTCATTTGTGCCTTACAAAGTTACAATAGTTGCCTATGTCCCTATGAATGCGTTGTGCTGGGTATTTCTGAAGCTTCAAGGGTGTTGGCTGTATGACCTCAGCAGTCAGCATTTCTTTATCTAATATAGGATAGACCTGAAGATGAAGGGGGTTGATTATATTGTTAGGCAGTTAGGCAGTTAGGCTATGCTCTTTGTGGTTGTATCTGACATCAATTTGTTGCTTGATTGCAAAGGTGAGGTTTATAGGATATAGTCTGACACTGATTAACTTAAATGAATTTTTTGGGTAGTGGTATAACCTTTTTCTCGTGGCCATCTTACAGGTACAAAGTGTAAGCTGTGTAATGGGATGTATTACTAGCTTACTATATAAAAAGTTTATATTGTTTCATTCATGCTATTGGTGGATGTAGTCTGCTTTGAAATGCCAAAATTAATCATTTTTTACATTTATATACAGAAGTCTGTAGCCTGTGTTTGAAGTCTTTTGATTTATTTTCAAAATCCTGGAGTGAGATCATGGTTACATTAGGCCATTAGGGGGTTTGGTAATTGGCATACTTTATGGATCAAATTTCTTTTTTAAATAGAAGAAAGCTGATTTCAACCCTCTTGCTTGCTCTTCTGTGTGCTTACTGCTTATACTTATTCCTCGATAGAATGTTACTTTTTTGTGTAACTTTTATGTTTAATTTCTTTTATCCAAAATTATAATCTCTTCATATACATCAGAAGATTTTTTGAACTTAGTATTGTTAGTAAAATTAGAAGATGCCTTCACTCATTTTTGCTTAATGCATTGTTTGCAGGATTTCATCCACTCTGCTGTCAAGGATATATTCTCTGACGAGTTAAAAAAATTAAAGAATCAGCGTTCTGATGCTTCAGAACTCCCAAGTTCATTGTCTGGAGAAGATGATATTTTATGGGAATATGACGGTCCCCATACAGCTGATAAAAGTGAATGTGAAGAGATATTGCTAGAAATGCAAAGGATCTTCTATGAGGATATCGAGTTGGAGTTGAGTCAAAAAGGTAAGCCGCATCCCTTTTCAAAAGGAAGAGGAGCAAGTTAATGTTGGTTTTCCCGGAACACTTTTGACATTGGTAAAATACTGTTTATCTGTTCACCCCCCCCCCCCCAAAATTAACTTATTAGAAGGAATAAAAATGAGAAACCGGGTTTGATAGTGCAGAAAGTGTTTTGAGTCTGACATTGGTTTTAGCCTTTCCCAGAAGCAGAGAAATCCATTGTTTTGGAGGATGAAGAGGATGAGTATTTGGCTTTGGCACTCGATCAATATATGCAGTTAAATGATGGGAAGGTATGTCATTGATAAGTAGAGTGATAAAAAAAATTACTTATGGCAGTTTTAGTTGCGTTATCTTTGATCGAGTGCCATTATGTTGGGAATATTTTCATTTGGTTGTTGCCAATCTTTTTTTTTGTCTGGTTTTTGGTACTTGTGGATTGTCTGATTTTAGGAGTGATAATGTGGTACCCTGATGATCAAGAACTGCTGCTGCCTTATCCATGTAATTTACCTTCAATTTTTTTAATTGACTTGTTTAGATCCATTGAAAGATTTTCTTATTCCATGTTTTTAGGCAAACTAGTAAGGACTTACCAACATCTAAATCTATCAGATTGCTTAAACAAAAAGCTCAAAGCTACTTTTGAGATTTCATGGATAAGGGGTTTATTATGTGGAAATAAAAAGGTATAATGGTGCAATGTCCTCAAGAGACAAGATCCCAATTCAATCATGCTCCTTTCATTGCCCACATTAAGGGATCCCAATTCCCCATTATCTTAATCTGTGTTGTATCAATATTTATCAAATAAATATGAATCACTTAAGGTCAGGTACTTGTGACATGAGAACGTGGAAAAAGGAGTTGCTTCTCCTAGGTCGGCACATATATATTTTTGCATTTTAGAATTGATTTGGTCAAAGGCTCAAAGCATTTATATGTAATAATTTGATTGTGTGCATCATGACAATAATCGAGGATCATGTATGTTGTATAGTGCTTTGATACACTACTAAAATTAATGACTATCACCTACTTGTATCTATCAAGCCTTTGGTTTTAGTGCAATTTGCATCATAATGTAGTCAGATGAATAAAATACGGAGTACCACTTAATGTTATGGGAAATTGTTTAACTGTGTTCTTTCCTTAAAATCTACATCTGCAGTAATTTTCTTCAGTGCCCTCATTATGCAATAAGTTTCTTTCACCTTTTATAGTTTGGAATATTTAGTTGGACATTTCATATGAGGCAATTGTCAAAGTTCACATTTACATAAAGTAATGAGGCAATTGCCAAAGTTCACATTTACATTAATCTGGCTATGGGTTTTTCTGCAAGATATTTTTTTTCCAACCCTCTGATTAGGGTTCTGGAATTTGTTCTTATTTTGCCTTACTATTCTTCGATTTGTATGGAAGGAACACGTCTGGTGCCCAATCTGCAAGAAAGGAGAGTTACAAGAGAATCACCATCTCATATATTGCAAACTTTGCCAGTTAAATCTCAACAAAGGAGATGAGGTACTGCAATAATCACTCTGGCTTCACTCTTTATTCTATTCTATCTTGCACAAGCACATCAACAGAGCATGTTGCATATAGATCAAGGCTTTGTAGCGTGACCTATAGGAATTGATAATGTTAGTGAGAGTCTTTCCTTGATTTATCTATTTCAGAACCAAGTAGATGTTGAATATTGATCAAGCTTACTGTCAGTTGGTCATTGCTTTGCTCAGAAGCTCAAAAG